TATATTTATTTATTTATATGGAACTAATGAAGCAAACAGGTGATCTCTCATTTCTCACCTCAGTTGAAGAGAACAGGTCACGTGGAAGTTCTTCTGAAGATTGAAGAATGCTCTCGATTCGTTTTCTTTCTGTTTCTCCAATATTCATGTCCGCCCCTGTAAGAAAAGATTTAGTACCGCACATCGTCATCACCTAGGATAGGTAAGTAGTATATAAGGTACGTACGCATTAACTGAGACCATTTTTAGAAAGTTAACTGCTCTTGTTTGGTTTAAAAACGCAATTGTTTTTATGAGGGTAGCAATTAATAGCCAGTGGCTAACAAACCTAATTTGGCCCTCGATCCACGATCAAGTAGGAATTTGGGAGTTGATTTCTGTAAAAAAAAAACCGTTGGAATGAAAGATTGTGATTGGCAACTGAGGTCAATAAAATACGGATTTCGTTCTCTCTGATTGGTTACAGTTTTCATTCTACGTCGTGATTGGCTGACTTTATAAAAGTGGTCCCAGTTAGTGTGTCCGCGTAGTAACAGACACTAACCTGGAGCCAAATAGTTGTTGAAGATGGTCCAGCCAGTACACCGACTGAGATACCTGTCTCTGGATCGTTTTTCACCTGCGTAGAATTCTTTGACATCGAGCCAAAAACACAGACTTGACAAGMAATGCTTTTCTTTTCTCCTGAATTGTAAAATAGTAAATATGTTGAGGTTAAAAAATCAGAAGAAGAAATGCGTGAAATGATAGGGGGGAAAGAATTAAAGAAGAGAACGGAAGGAAGGAAGGAACGAACGAACGAACGAACGAACAAACAAAGGAAGAAACGAACGAACGAACAAAGGAAGAAAGAAAGGAACGAAGGAAGGAACGAAGGAAGGAACGAAGGAACTTGAAGGAAGGAAGAAAGGAAGGAACTTGAAGGAAGGAAGGAACGAAGGAAGAAACAATGAAAGAAGCAAACAGAGAGAAGCAAAGAAAAACTGATACTTACGATTGAAGATATCGCTTGAAAGGATACCCAGCATCCTTTTCGGCCTTCAATGCAGACACGAACGGATCGACAACATTCCTGTAATAGATGGTAATAACGATATCACGTGGTAAGGGAAAATTTAAAAATAATCAATTAATTTCCAAACCCAAACATGATTACTTACCCTTCTGGGATGGTATTGAGTCTCTGACTGACTGACTTCTTTCTCTTGTCTTTTATCAAGATATCGCGGTCCCATTTACGAGACTGAGTGCRAATCATCTCTCGACACCAGTCTCCCAACGGTGGAATAGAATGAACAAATGAGAGAGAAGGGAAAAAGCTCAGATTTGAGTTAGGGCGATATTGATCACGTGGGTTGACTTGAGCGAAATAGTTTTCTCTGATTAAAGAAAAGAAAATACATAAAAGTTAGTACAACATGATTGTTTAAAAAGGTTTTTTTATCTCTTTAGAAAGGAAAACTAAAATCAGGATTTCTTTATTTTAAGAGTCGACTACCTATTTAATCGACCAACCTATATTTAGCAGTCACGTTGTCTAAGTCCCAAAGAGGGTTTTTGCGCAAACTGACACCTCTATTAATCGGTCAACCTCTATTTAGCGGCCGCGTGACAATTCTCCGAGGGTGGCCGATTATCAGAGGTTTTACTGCATAAGCTGCACACGTAAATGTTTGGACCTATATGTCTYTAATTGAGACGGGCGCCACCATTTTGTGTGGTGGTGCGAGTAAACGATCAACATCACGCTTTTTATGCGCCAGACTCTACTCTGCAGTGACATTGCCGTCTTCTCACCTGTAGTCCTCGTTTCTCTCCAAATGAACAAGAAACCTCGGCACCCAATAGGATCGCATCCTACGTAGCATGTCATACTGGGTCCGTGTAAAGAGGTCTTGGGTTACACCCCCGTGGAAAAGAGCTTTATCAATTTGTTCCTAAAAATATGGAAGTTGTAAATAATCTGGAAACTCTTCTAGAAACAATGATCTGATGAACAGTTAAATATATAAAAAAAGATATTTTTTTTTACTTACTTTGGCATCGGCCGTTAGGTAATTCTTATATTTGTCTAAAATGTCCCTGAAAGTCAATAAATCAATGGTTTATTCGTGATACGAGGAACTGTTGCCAAGTCTCCCCAGTCAATATTAAACATTCAAATCGGTTTATTGATTATGAGGCTCACACGAGCTCTCAATTCACATGTACAAGAACAAACACATTGCTCAGTTAACCGATTGAATTGTTTAATACAGTAAAACCCCGCGTATAAGAACCTAGATTTATCCAAATCAGCCTGAACAGGTTCTCATATAAATGATGCTTAACTTGAAATCAGGCTATCTAGGTTCTTAAATGGGTTCTTAATCATTGGTAAGTAAAAGAGTGCTTGTATTGGTGGGCGAKGCATTTTATACATTAAGTAAATGGTTAAGTAAAGTACTGTACTAAATGTTAGGTAGTAACTATTTCGATCTTATTTCATGGACACAGTGTAAGAACTCTTATATACAGAGTACTGTATTTTATTATTTACAAGAAAATAAAACAGATTAACTTTATATTTGTAAATTAAGAACCTACTTTGAGATTTCAGCCTGAAATGGTTTTTATGTGAAGGGTTCTTAAAATGAAAATTTCAGCCTGACAGGTTCTTAAATTTTAGGTTCTTAGACGCGGAATTTTACTGGAAGCATGCTTTATAATTAGTGCATGCGACTGCTACAACCCAATTCCATTGATTAGCTATCCACAGGGCTCCCATAAAATGCTATTTGAGCAATTATAGAGCTAGTATTCAAGGTATAAGTTTCAGGCGCCACTTTTGGGGATCGGCAGTATTGGACATCCATATTTAAAATTCTTATGTTCATACCAAAACAATAGTTAGATAAATTTTGCCACAAAAAATAAGTGGGGAAGGGGTAGGGTCGCATGGTGATAGGCCTTCTAGCCCTCCTTATACTACGTCCATTGAACTATCATCGATGATAATACCCATCAATGTTCTTGACTACAGCACAATACGACATCGAGCATACCTAAATAGTTTGGTTCGTAGTTCTCGTATGCTTTCCTCTGGCTCAGATTGTAAACTATCTTTGTATCGTTCAACATCAAGCCAAAAATTGTACAAATGGATTCCTAAAGTGTCCTCTAGAAAGGCGCGAAAAAGAGTCATTCCTTGCAGCTGAAAGAGAAAACCCAATATGCGTTAGATATGCTATATGATGAGGCATGATTAGTATCAGAATTCCCTTTTCCGTTTAATTACTAAAAGGAAGCGTGTCCGAGGGGTTTGCATGTCTAGCGTAGTGTGCTACSAGCAAAATCAAATGATCCATTCATAGTTCGACTCCCAGTCATTTCCCTTCAGTTGGCTCGACGTCTCTATTAGCCACTCCGAGGTCGAGGGAAAAATGGGTCGAATTGGCATTGCATTGGATTGTATGACTGTTATAGACGCCATCTTAAAAATATGACCCATCAAACAGTCCCATAATGCACTGCAATGCCAACTCGACCCATTACCCCCCTCAACCTTGGAACGGTTGATAATCTATGTAGCTTTAGCTCACAGTGACCATGAAGCGACCATGTAGCGGCCATGTAACGACCATGTAGCGACCATGTAGCGACCATGTAACGACCATGTAACGACCATGTAACGGAAAACCCTACTTCGTGGCGACGTGCCTGCCTGCTAAAGCTAAGGTAAGTTGTAAAGAAATCATGACTTACCGATCCTAATATCTGTTCTTTTAGCTCCTGTAAAGTTGTCTTGTGCTTTGACACAATACTTTTAACATCTGCTTCGGCCTGACCGTCGTCACCTTCACCGAACTCCATAACAGCACGAAGCTCTTCATCTTCTGCTCCCTCCTGATCTGACCCTAAGTCTGACCCTCTTCCGTTATCTGAATACAAATAAGTATATTAGCAAGCTATTTAAACATAATACCTTTTCGTGTGTTGCAGAGTGCGAAGCGTGGGAGATGAGGGAGAGGTGGTTGGGGAAAGAGGTGGAGCTGAATCCCTAATAGCAGGCTAATCCCCTTATTTTTTAATAATAATTAAGAATTTTTTTTATGCGCAAGCAAATGTTTTTGCCAAAGCTAAGGCTTGCGCTATTTAAAACTTTAAAATGGCAGTAAGACAGCACCATTCAGAACCAGACCTGCCTTATTGGCCCACAGTAAACCACCTCGTTTGTTAGGTTAGGTTTATTTTCGTTGTGTGACAGACCACAAATCTATTGGCATTTTAAGCTTACGTATTCTTTTTTAAACCAATCACGCATCTTGTTGCAAACGGTGCGGCATGCCCCCAAAATGGTCAGATATTTTCTGGATCCGGCCGGAAATTCATGCAAGGAATATTATACATAACAGGAAGCGATCCAACTCTAAACCATAAGATAAGTTGCCAAAGGTTCGTTGGCATTTGTACATAATTATATTACCATCCTTGTGGTCATCATCAGAAGTCTCTTTTAATGTATTTTCCAGCTCTGTGTCTTGATTTTGCCCATTTGCGCCATTCTTCTCCTGATTTTCTTGGGCACCAACATCTTCAATTTGAACGCTTTTCACTGAAATTAAAAAAATATGAATCAGAACTTTTTTATTTACCCTGCTTGTTTGTCTGTTTGTTTCAACTCCCCTAATTCATTTGTTGAATCACGCAGACTGAGACGAAGTCAAACGTCGAACTTCACATGAGCCGAACCAAATGACATCAAAAAAGCCACCGTGTTATCCATTGGGTTCGGTTCAGTGAAGCTCGGCGTTTGACGTTTCAATTCCCCTAATTCATTTGTTGAGTCACGTAGACTAAGACTTAGGTCAAACGTTGAACTTCACATGAGCCGAACCTAATGACATCAAAAAAGGCCACCTTGTTATCCATTGGGTTCGGTTCAGTAAAGCTTGACGTTTGACCTGAGCATTAGTTACAAATAAGTCTTGATACATCCTTTGGTATATTAGCACGAGACTAGGACACTAGGACTTAAGGGAGGAATGGRGTGTCGCAATTACAGTGAGAAAACCGTGAACACGAGTTTTTTCATGGTATTATTTACTGAACTTTCTACTGTTTCCAACCCTCAAGTGAAGCATTGACTTCAAATACACACCGCGCAGTGAACAACATAAATCTTATTTCCAATCGATTGAGTCAAGGTATGATTTACAGCAGGCATTTTAAAAAGTGACAAAAAACTCGAAGTGTTTACAATTCAAGTGCCCTAACTGTAAAAATGCAGATTTCTGATCCGATACGCATTTTYCCCCACTAAAATCTGATGACAGACAACGAAAAGTAATAATAAATATACAGATACTATGTCGAAAAGAGTTCCATGTGTGTAATAAGACTCACACATAAAATGAAAATTGAAAATGTAAATTAGTAATGGGGGGGGGACGTCACTCTTTTACAATAAAGGTGCGGGAATAATACGGGCAACAAAATAGTGCAACTTCTCTTGCAACATTGTTGTGCCGTTAGTTGCTGAGCGAATGTCCCTCGTATCACCACCCTCGTGCAAAATTTCGATTTGCGGCTGTGTTGCAGAAGTAAAAGCTCTTTCTACTCTCTGCAAGAAAGAATATTGTTGCGCGCACGATAATACGATCAACATTCGCTCTAGATCTGCAGCTTGCAGCGCAACAATGTTGCAAGACAAGTTGCAATATCTTATTGCTCGTACTACTGCACCTTAGAGCAATTTTCGCATGACTGTGTAAAGCTCAGTGCGTTAAGCGTGCCGTGCAGTGACCGTGATGTTTTCTAGAATTTCAATTGGCTGATTTTTTCTCGCGTAATGCATGTGCTTGGTCTGGCAGTGCCGTGACTGTGGCGTGACCATGTCCGCACCGTGTTTGTGYCGTGTTCCGGGTATTTGATTGGATGGAGAGTAAATTCTCGAGCAATATGATTGGTCTGGAGTATGCCTTGCCGTGTCACGACTGTGTTCGCGCCGTAAGGTTTTCACAGTCATAAGAAAACTGATATAAGTACTATATGTACATACTTTGTTTCAATTCCGCTTCGACATACATCTGTTCAACAAGTTGCCTGGTATCCCCAAAACTCTCCTCCGTATTCTCATTCACGGCCAATCGCAACATTCCAGGCAAGCTAGTAGCGCTACCCAGAGGACGGCGACCGAAATGCCTGACGGGAACACCTGGCCATGATCTGTTGGAGGTATTACTGGATGGTCGGACGGTGTGAGGTGTGTAGTTTGTTGAGCTTGTTGCACGGCTGTAGCCCCGTAACCCTCGGCTGCTTTCACGAGCTGTTGATCGCGAATCTCGAAGTTTACGAATTAGGAGACGACAGAGTTTGAATTCGAGGAAAAGACGAGTTCTGAGGACAAGATAGAAAAAGGTGCTGAATTATATTTAAATGATTCCTCTATTTAGCAGATCCCTTTTTAAGCGGACGCTCTCCGTTAAACGGTCAGCATGGCCCCGAAATGTTCTTTATTCGCAAAACGAGCCTCCATACTTTGTCTATTCAGGATACCCTTATTAAGTGGATATCAGGCAAGGCCCCGAAGGTTTCCCCTTAACAGAAGTAAAACATATTGACATCGTGACCCTTCGTCCTCCTAATTTTATTTCAAAGATAGAATGTGTGGACCGCATAGCACTTATGAAATACATGAAGATATAGAAATATAGATAAGTTATAGTGCTTGGGAACGAGGTTATTCCGGGCGAAAGGCCCTTGGAATTAAATTCGGAAAAAATTAATTTCTGACCTCGCAATCTTATTCAGGGTTCGATCTGTCAACTTGTCACGCAACGAAAAYTGACGTTGCAAGTTGCTCGTTTTGTTGCTCGTTTAATAACCGCACGTTTAATAAAAATACCTACGACTACTATCCCGTTTTTAATTGTGTGAATTTAAAAATATATAYCTTTTGCTTACCTCAGGAATAATGAAAGTCTTTCCCTCTTGACCCATTTCATAATTTTTTCTCTCTTTTTGGACTCATTTTCAGCGTCATCACTTGGCTGTAACGTCAATGAATTGCTGTCTCTTGAGACTTCTTGAAAAGCACCTGACAATGGATTATACTGAACTACCTTGGRAAATGCCTGAGTTGATAAGAAAACAAATATATAAGACCTCTTTAGCTTGGAATTAATGTTTTACCCACTTCAGACCAACCTTATTCCCAGGAATATTATTTCTTTATTTAATGGTTGCACATGAGATGACATATGAATATGGATACAATTCAACTTATCAACTTAACAAAGAATCCTATTCTCAAGGAAATATTGTGGTCTGAAATGGAAACACTCTACAGGGGCTGCAGAGTTAGGGGGCTTGGGGGCTATGGCCTCCCCCCCAAACAATTTTCCTGTCATGTTGAATTACTTAAATCATAACTTTAATGCAATAAATATTGCATTTCCAAGGGTCTCAATTTCAAACTTTTTATTGGGGCATACCCTCGAAACCCACTAGATGCTCCAACCTTTGGCAGTCGTTAGCCTCACCAATCAGAATAAGGCTCCACAGTCCCTGCACTATGCCCAAGCTAGTGGTCTGGTATTTACTCTGGTAGCATATAGTGAAAGTAGAATCCACACAGACAACGGAATAAATTTTAGAAAGAGAATCTCATTTGGATGATAAAAATTGATACAAAAAAGAATTTGGAACTCAGTATAAGTCGTAGAGATTCCAATTTAGTTGTAAAAGTCTTGTGGAATAATAAAGATTGCTTTTATTTAGACTCCAATTCATAATCAAAGATTTTTATAAATAATTACTTTAAACTATGTAATTTCAAATATGCATTTGATTATGAATGAAAAAGCAATTCAAAAATTCAAAAATCACTACTATTTTTTTCATCAAAAATAATAAACTAAATGAAAAGGGCAGGGTAAGGTGAGGAGTGTTATACAGTGTCAGGAGAAACTACAATGTATTGAGTGGCATAGAYGGTATGAGGCTGATGGACATATCTAAACAACAGTAGCAAGATACTTCACAGCATCGAGTCACACTGCAAGCAAAGATTCTAACTTACTGGTAGAGCCAAGAATGCATTGAAGTATTCAACAAAGATCTCATCATATGCAAGTCTGTCCTCAAATGTTAGTTCATTGATTAGGAGCCCTGTGTACAGAAATAAAACAGAGGTGACACCTGTTAGCAAAGCCTAGCAGATCCAGAAAATTTTAAAAGGGGTGACGGCTTACTTTTTATTTCTAATATATAGCAAAGTACATGTATGCTAATATTTGCCAATGCTACAGGAAACAAATAAAATGTGAGAAAATGGTGAAAAAATTATATCTTAAAGTGACAGAAATTAAATTTGAGACCTTCATGTAAAACAAGTGAAAGTTTATCAAGATAAAATTATTGTATGGAACGGTCTGAACCCAGGTTAAAGAGATAAAATTAATGTTTTCTGTTATTACTGTGGTTTTTGATATATTTCTGCAAACTCAGACATTTCAACAGCTTGTTGTGAAATAAAATTAAAATTATTATTGGTTATTACTGCTGCCAGTCATAATTTTATCAGTTTCCAACTGATTATTTTTGATTGACAGTAGCAAAAAACCATGGTRGAGCTCTAAACTACCAAGTTCGCAGAATATCTAAAACCACAGTAAACTTCTTTTTCCGTAGGGCAAAGGGAGGGGGGTGACTAGTCACTCCTCCCACTACCCCGTACCACTGGATACACCTCTGTGCTATAAGTGATGGTTTTTTTAATATTTCCAGATTTTGATGGATGAATGAAGAACAATATATGAAATATAATGCCTTTCAAGCTTGGTTACGATTTCTGAATAATTTTCAGCATAAAATCTACTTGTCCTTTGTGAGTTTCATAAAATTTGACATTATCAATTCAGTAAAAAAATTGAGGTGAAGCAGATCAATAAAGTGACCTCGCTTACACATCAAAGTACAGCTATTACAGTATTACTATTATTAGAAAAATATAATATATTCAGTATATAACATAAGTTTAGCATTATGACACTTTTCAAGAGGGTAAAGTAATGTTATAATTAATTTTATAATTAATAACTCTAATAATTGGTAATTAATCTTATGTAAACTGTCAGTTGTTTATAGCTCCATGTATACATTTTTCTTTTTCAAAATACCACATAAAGTGGTTCCATTATATTAAAATTAAAATGATTCTCTCGTATGACCTAAAATAGAACAGTAGAAATAGAAAACAAATGTTTTGCGAAGTATGACAAGATGACATCGTAACAAGTCTCGCAACACTTCATCATGAAGTGATCATCACTAAATAAACTATATATATCAGAAATAGCACAAACCCTAGATAATTCTGTATTTTCATATGTTATCGGATTAATTATCGAATACAGAAACGGATATTATAACGGAATTGTGGTGGAACCTTTTGTTTTTATCCGACAGATAACTTTATTTTACGCACGTATCACCACCATGCACAGACACGTTGAACTTCGGAAGCTCAATACATAAAAGTGTGAAATCAAAATTTAAGCCGAAAAGTCAAGAACACTCAGAATGATAAGAGCTCCAATAAGTAAAAGAGATAAATTCTTATAAATCTGGCACTGAGTGGAGTTTTCAACGAGTTCACAGCATAGAATAAACAGAATAATCGTATAATTAAATGGTGCTCAACATGATTTGATTGATGATTCCAAATGAGTTTTACTGTGTAGTTTTATAGTTTATATATGGTTTTACCTTTCATTTTTATCTTCTTTCAAGCTTTCCTTCTTCATTACCGGATTAAAAGATTCCCCCTCGACATTGCTAATTCAATTTGCTTTTCTTTATACCATTTTAGATCGTTTTAGACAAGATTCAAAAGCGCATAGATTGTTCTTTATCATGACTGTGTGGTGCCTCATACACACAGACGTCGTCTCCTTGGTAACCGGCATCGTAGAATACCCGTGCATATTTATAAAGTATAATCATTAACTTTAACCTTAAAACATAATGAAATTTAAAGCTAAAATACGATGAACGATTTTGTCATATTTTAATTATTTTCTTATTTCTTTTTTCCCTTGTCTTTTTCATTTTCTAGTTTACTCAAAATAAAAATCTATTATCAGTCTTGTGTAAATTCTTATTGATAATAAAATATTGGGCTTCCTGTGGAGAGAGGGTTGTCAGTCTTAGCACCATTTTGCAAGATAAAAACCGTAAAATCTCGTTAATAAGCCCCGGTTATAAATGCTCATTGGTAAGGGTTTCTCGATGTGTTTACACGGGAGGTAACGTTTAGGAGAACCAATAATATAGGGGGGGRAAATATTTTCGATGAGGAGGTAGCATGAAATATCGTTGGGCTTTACAGCCCGGGTTTACAGTAAATCTCTTATAATATAATTATGCGGTGAAGTATTTTCTTTTTCTTTTTCCAACACTTCGCCGAAATTTGGCTGACCATGAATTTGTTCAATTTCCGTCAATTCCTCGTATCCTTCTCGGCTTTGATTCGGCGGGATTCGATCTCATTCCCCATAAAGTTTAGAGTTGAACCACACAAGACAAGTACACACCAGCATATTACACAGCACCTCTTGCTTGTGGCTTGTTCGTTGTCGTAGCATGGCCAGTTTACCTAAAAAAAAGAAATATAATATGTCAGAAAAGGTAGGGTATTGTTATTCATTTTTATTCATCTTTGGTAACGGTTTTCTGTTGACTTGTTTGTTTTGAACAGCGTTGCTGCAAAGCCATACCCAATGATCCATGAGATTGCTTCGATTTAGTTTCATATTTTGCCTCTCTTTTGCAGCTCTATCATCGCTCTGAGTAAGTCAACCTTGAGAATAAGCCAGCTTAAAGCGAAATATAGATTTTATTGTCCAGGAGCTATAAGAATTAGTGCGAATATTTTGGCTGATTGGCGTTCACTAAGGGACCGATCGTTTATTGCGTCCCAGGGGGGCGGTGGTAATACGGTTGGGGAGGGGGGGCGGTACGTTTTTTAAAACCAGTAAAAAAAAATTGGGGGTACATTTTTGTAATGACCGAATATGAGGAGGGGTACGTATTTAGTAGTGTTGAAGGGGGAGGGGTATGTTTTCCATTCAATGATTTTAGAGGGAGATACAAATTTCATTTCATTTTTTTGCGAAGAAACCATCCCCCCCCCCCCTACCCGGGACGTAATAAACGATCGGTCCCTAATTGCAAATATAAAACGCTGGCTGCTCACATTCAAGTGACCTTGCTTTACCCTTTCTGATTACAGCTTATGTAAAAGGAAACCGATCACAACACAGGAAACCCACAAAGAGCAAAGTTAATTTTCTAAAAGAAGCAAAAAAATAAAAWAATAAAATAATAAGCGGGTTCCCTGTGCATAAACGTGGTACGGTGAATCCTACGCGTTGAATACTGAACTGTGCTGCACTCAAAGTGAACTAAAAATCGAACGCAATGTTCCATTGTTATTGATTCAAATTTTACTAAATAATGTAGAGAGGGATCCTCGAACGTCTCGATGCAGGAGAAGTGATCATAGGTGATGGTGGGTTTACTGCGGCCCTAGAGAAGCGAGGTTACGTAATGGCTGGAAAGTGGACACCCGAATGCACTGTGGAAAATCCAGAAGCAGGTAAAACTGGTTTTATTGCGTGACCCAGTGCGTTTATACGGAGCAATTTTCCCTGCAACTTGTGCAACAGCGCTGGACACAAGTTGTAAGAATACCCGGTGCAACGGAGACGCAATCGTTGCCAGAAGTAGAAACGTTAACGAACTTTACTTTTGAATTGCGCTGTGGGTTACACGCTGTAATCATAATTAATAGAGCGGAATCAATGGTTAGGAAACCTATTGTCCTATGTTTTTGTTCTTCTTTATCCATTGTTATATGACCTTCAGTGCACAGTGAAGGAAAAGTTTCTCCATTTGTTCACAGTATTAGGGAATATAAAAGTTTTTTACCCAAAACAAAATCGTTCTAAAATATGTGTTATTTGTTAATTAATCTTATATGATTAAAATTAATTGTTTATTGAAAATGAAATTGCCCTTTTTAATGCTTTCTTATTTATCATCTAGTAACTTAACTGTATCTGCGCGAAAATATTTATTCGAATGGTTTTTGGTTATGGAATGAAAGTTTCTATTTTCAAAGTGTTCACACATGAAAATAATAAGGAACTGAGCATTTTCAGCCATACTTGCTTTGGTTCATTGTGCACCGTCAGTAACACGTGATGGTACGATTCAACATCAAAGGCAAAACAATAGCTTTGTTCTATTTTCGACTTTCACATCCCCATAATGCCTTGCGTTTTTGGGGGGTAACCAATCAAAAAACTGTCCCAAATTGAAAGGTTTCTTAATTGAATTTATACTATACCGGCTTTTATCTTTACAATACTGATTATCAGTTTATCCCACGTTATTTTTGCGTGTACAGATCATGAAGAGTTTTGGTCTTACAGAAAATGTATTGACTTACGAAAAAATGTTTAAAATTTACCTTAAACGTCTTCAAGCTTCTATCTTTTTCTGTTTTTTACTTCTTCATTTTATCTTTGGATACCAAACAAGGTATTTTCAACATTGTGTGATCAGTCTTCAGCAAAATAAGTGGGTTTTTACCCTCTGGTTACCCCCCAAAGACGCAAAGGATTATGGTGATGTGAAAGTCGAGAATGGAGTTTCCAAACCATTCCACTCCATTAACTACGCTGCAATGCTCCATGCAACTTGTGTTGCAACGCCGTTGCGCGACAAGTTTCAGGAAAAACTGCTCCGTTTTAGATAACTTTAACATACTTGTAAAGCGCTTTTGGACTTTAGGAAAAGACGCTATATAAAATTATCCGTTATATTAGTATTATATATTGTCTTAGCTAGAACTAGAAATCTGCACCGTGGATCGAAAGATCATGTTTGAATTCCTCTTGAACCATTGTTTCAGTTCGTCAACTTCACCGTGAGTTTCTTCGTGCTGGTGCTGACGTCATGCAAGCGTTTACTTACTCTATGCAAGATGAGCCCGTAGAGATTGATGGGAAAACTGTTTCGGTAAAGTAAAGTATTTATCATAGTTTTAAATCGTTTCTTTCTCTCTTGAGAAGTGCGGGTTGTGTGCAGTACTAATGCGTGTCATTTCAAGGCTATGGTCATGGGGTTCGATCCTCGTGAACCGGCACGTGAGCAGAGCTGCTTGTTGGTTCTCTTATGTTCTTCGAGGGGCTTCGAGGGTCTCCATAAAAATATATCAACTTTCATTATTTAATTCAATAATCAGGGTTCGTGCTAGTCCTTAAACTCCTTGAAAACTCCTTGAATTTAATTCACATTTTCAAGGGCACTTGAAAAGCTCTTGAATACTACGATTTTAGCGAAACTCCCCCAAAACTCCTTGAATTTCTGCTTTGATCAATACTTGCATGGTTCTTAAAAAGATCTAGTCAGAAAGATTGGAATTTCTGAAAGTCGGCCATATGCAACCACCGTGTAAAACCTTGGCATAGTTAGCTGAACAAACTCCTTGAAAATTCAYYTTYGGGTCCTTGTATACCCTTGAATAGTCCTTGAATTTTAAGTGGTTACCTCAGCACGAACCCTGAATAATGGAACAATGCTGGGCCACGAGTTCGAACCGAGAGGAGATTAAAAGTGTAAGAACGAGAACTTCCATTATCATTGCCATCAATCCGGTATGCTGGCAATTATTTTATGCCACGACCGAAGCAGTTATCGTAGGTCTTTGCTCACATAAACATTTTGCTAGAGATCCCGCCATAAAATGTTCCCTGGGTGCCCTCCCCCAAATCGAATGTTTTGAAGCAAAGGAATTCCTTTRCCAAAAGTTTCCAAATTATTCATAATGTTGTTGCCGCAGTAAAGGAATTTGATTGTTCTGAATACTTTTCAGTGGGATGAAATCAACGATGCAGCTTGTAAGTTAGCAAAGGAAGTGGCAGAAGAAGGTCCTTATGCATTATGTTCGGGATCCCTGTGTGAAACCGTCCAGGCATACCGTAGCGGTAAAGTCCCTAAAGAGGTCATCAAAGAGAAGTTCAAGAAACAAGTGGATATTTTTGTGAAGAATGGTGTTGATCTCTTGATCGCTGAGGTTAGGAGGACTCCATTTCAACCGCTGTCCAGTTTGTTAACGTAAATGTAGGCGCGCAAAGTATCATTCGTCAAAATCATGTTTTTCAGTATTTGGTAGGTCGATATTTCGCTCACTTTACATTCTCTAAATCTTCTAATACTTGTTCAACTTGAAATATTGTAAAATATATTTCTCGTAGTATATTTCACATGTTGGAGAAGCAGAATTGATGGTTGAAGTCATGAAGGCCAGCGGTAAACCCACAGCCGTTACCTTGGCAATAGGTAAAGATGGCGATAGACACGGTGTGTTGCCGGGAGAGTGTGCCCTACGTCTTGCTCGTGCAGGTATGATGACTCAGCAGAAATGAAAGCACAAATGAACGCGCAAGCAAATAACGTGTGAACTGCAGCTAACACAAAAGCAAGGAATGGAAATTTCTCATATTTTCGTGCGCTTGCTGACGTTTGTGTAACAGAAGTTCTAAAACACCACTAGAACTAGCTATTGAAAGCGCAAGCAAAATTACCTGTGAACTACACTTAGTCAACGCTAAAAGAAGGAATGGAGACTTTCCCATTTTTTCGTGCGCATGCATGCTTGCGTTTGTGTAACGGAAATCCACTTACAGTAGTCATTAAACTGATGATGGACGATGGATATCGTCCGAAATATTTTGCTCAAAAAACTTCTAGTTATTCTTTTCGTATATAAACTTTTGGCCCAAAAAAACATTTTTACAAATCCAAAAGAGCGCTTTAATATRAACAAGCACTGACCACTGCGCTTGCGTATTTTAATTTGCTGGCATTTTGCGTTGCCCGTGTGAACCAAGCTCAAGATACTTAATCATCGCTTAGACTTAAGCATTGTGGAATATGAATTTTATTACAACAGGTGCAGATATCATTGGTGTTAATTGTCGTTTTGATCCCGAGAGAAGCCTTGAAGTCATGAAAGAAATGCAACACGCCTTGAAAAAGGAAGGCATTAAAATGCATTACATGGTTCAACCACTTGGTTTCTGGACTCCTGATGCAAATGCTCTTGGTTTTATTGGTCTTGCCGAGTTTCCATTCGGTAAGGTTGCGACTTTAGCCTACATACATTTTCAAGTATCTTAGGGAAATCAAGGGCCGACTTTTGTCAATTAACTTTATTGCGGAAATGTGGTTTAACAAAATCAGACTGACAATTAGCCGAAGAGGTAATTTAAACACAAATACAGGCTTTGCTAACCTGCGGTGTCTGTCCGTCTGTTAAGAGTTGTCTGTGTCCCATTTTTTCTAACATCTTTTTATGCTTTTTGTCCCTTGCTAGCCATGGACCCCCGTGCTCTAACCAGATGGGACTGYCATAAGTTTGCTCGTAAAGCATATGATATGGGTATCAGATACATTGGAGGGTGTTGTGGATTTGAACCTCACCATATCAGAGCTCTGGCTGAAGAGGTACGGTTCTGAGCTCCAATAACCCATATTTAATTTCAGGCTAAAAAATATAGTTCTTTTTTGCACAGGTTCACTGATAGAAGTGTTTCTTTAGTGAAGAGCATTAACATGCAATAGAGGTTTTGCACCATCACATGACGGCAGCCATGTTAGATGGCAGGAACAATACAATCGTTTTACATGAGAAAGAATTCAATTTCCGAGAATAAAGGGAGTTGTTCTGCCATCTAACCACAGGCAGCCCAAGCTGGATTATGGCGCCGCCACGTGATGGTGCAAAACCTCTTTACTTCGAATTGGTCTCTAAATTAAATTTTTTGAAGTCTTAGGATCTTTGATGGAGTACCAACCTTCCAAAAATAGTCTTTGGTAGTTATCCTGCTCGCGCTGTCTATGGTTTTGGCATCTCGGAAATTAATTATGCCCTGTTTAATTTGAATGTTCAGCTACTTTGGAAGACTGTGTATTAACCTTTGTTTATAGCTTTCACCTGAACGTGGTCGTCTACCTCTTGGAACCAAGAAGCATGGCTTGTGGGGAGAGAGCCTTAATAACTACACTGTACCACACTTGAAAGTGAAGTGAGTACATATGACCAAAATTGAGGAGCAGTTTTGCTTTACTGAACAAGTCTTTTTTCTCTCTCTTGAGAAGCACGGTTTGAGTGCTTTGCTAATGCGCGTCAACGCACGGCTGTGGTCACGGGCCAAGGGATTAAAACATCGGAACCGCCATTATATTTGAGCAGAGAACTTGCTTGTTCTCTTATGTGCTTTTCTCCGGTATATCTGGTTTTTCTTTCTGCACAAAAATAAACTTTCATTTATTTATCTTTTTTTTTTCAATTCGATAACGGAACAAGGACTGGCTATTAAGTGCTACCCTCGCAAAACAAGGACGATTCCTGCAACTTTTGAAATCAAAGATTTCCCTACTAGGAGACTCTCCCTCGTCCTCGCCTAAGAGAAGGAAGGGAAAGCGGTGAGACTCGGTCCGCAGGAAAATMTAATATATTCTTGAGTAAACACTTATACAAGATATCGAAATTATTGCTGGGCCTTTTTGGGAGTTTGCCTAAGAATCTGGTTAACTAAAGCTAATCTTGTTGCATTTTCCTTTCACAGGGCCAACCGCGCATTCTGGGAGAACCTGCAACCAGCAACTGGTCGCCCATATTCAGCACCACTGTCTGAACCAGCTGGAGAATGGCATGACTAATTTAGCCGTAATTTTTAAAGCGTAATTTTCGCTCCTTTTGTGCTTGGTGGAGCAAGAAAATTGGACAGCGAGCGAAATGGGACTGACTTTTGGGATCTTTGGATTTTGATTTCCTCCAACATGGCGGTTATACACCAAATCGAATTACGACGACAATTTGAATGACTTTTGTTCTCACTAGAATGACTTGCCCCGTGTTCACGTTGAAACATAAAAGCATTTTCACATGAATGAGAATAAGCCTGAAGCGAGATGACGTTTTACCCCCGACTCTATACCATAATAGTTTTTAAAATTCTTTCATATTAAAATTTTTGATTCCTTAGAGAATACAGGTACAATAGTTATAATTAAAGAACAAAAGCAGTGTGAAAAGGATTATGGTCTAGAGACGGGGGTAAAACGTCATCTYGCTTCAGGCTTATTGAGCCCGTCCTGGACAATAGTTATTCAAATTGATCGCCATGCATAATTTCATTCATGATTGTATGAAATCAAAGTCAAGCCAAGAATCGAGAGTTTTAACTAAGAAGCTTGCAAATGTATTTTTTTTTTTTTTTTTTTTTTTTTTTCAAATAAAAACATTTCAAAGTTCATAGTATTGTAATGGACGATGGTAAAATAAAGGGAAATAATTGAAGGCACTCGTGCCTAATCTGAATCATCTGTCTTCTGCTTTTTCTTCTTTTTTTTCTTTTTCTTTTCAGAACTTTCATCCTTTGGCTGAAAATAAAAACAATGATATTGAAAATGAAGAAAGAAAGAAATGGATATCAAGGGTGGTGCAGCTTTAGTCGCCTCACACTGCCCTGAATTAGATCAGCCCAAAAATTGTTATAGGGTTCGATCTGTGAGTAAGCTGTGCCCTGACTTAGACCTGCCCTGACTTAGACCAGCCCAGAGGCTGTTTCGGGGTTCACTTTGAGTTAGCCGTGCCCTGACTTTGATCAGCCCAGAGGTTGTTTCGGGGTTCAYTTTGAGTTAGCCGTGCCCTGACTTAGATTAGCCCAGAGGTTGTTTCAGGGTTCACTCTGAAGTAGCCATTCCATGACTTAGATCTGCCCGAAGGGAAGTTCTGGGTTGTATCTGTGGGTTGCCATGCTTTAGTGGCTTACACTTCCCTGACATAGATCAGCCAAAAGTTGTACAGGGTTCACTCTGTGCCCCGACTTTGATCATGCCAGAGGTTGTTTCAGGGTTCACTGTGAGTTACCGTGCCCTGACTTGGATCAGCCCAGAGGTTCTTTGCCTTCATTTCCGACAGGTTGCACCTTCTCATGAATGACAAAATAATCTGCTCATCTCAGTTCAATTTACTCACCTCGACTTTTTCTTCCTCTCCATCACTCTCCTCTGTTTCAGTTTTTCGTTTTTCTTTCTTCTTCTTTTTATCTTTCTTTGACTTTTTGGCCGGTACTTCTAAAAAAAAATTATTATATTGACATACTTGTGTTTAACCTGCCTTCAAAATTATACCATTTTTGCTTTTGCTCCTAAGCTACAATTAAGAGCAGTAACAAGAGTGGATGAGAAGGGAAAACAATAAAAACAAAACAAAGGCATAAAAATAAATGATAGAAGAAATAATGGGACACAACAGATACTGTGCGGAAACTTCAACCAGGAACACTTTGATAAACTGGTATCCGGATAACCAATCATACTGTGACATTTAGTTCGACATTCTTAAAGTGCA